TTTTTTTTTTTTTTTTTCCTTTACAGAAGCAAGATAGCAAGGCTCAAAGTTTGCAAATATCCTAGAATATCGGCAGTCCGCCTGGACTTTTCAAGGTCAAGTTTTCAGAGAGCAAGGGTGAAAAAGATAAACTTTCCCAATGAAGCTCTCCGAGAGCAGAGAAAGATTCGTTCTAAAAAGCTAAATAGCAACTCGTTGTCCGCATTCACAACCAAGAATGTCAACGGTTTACGGGTTGGTTCGGCCCAGTTCCGTGACTAGCAGGGCGGAGGGATCCGGAGATCCGCGCCTCCGGAAAAGGGAAACAAGGGACACAAAATAATTGAAAACAGCGGCAATGATCTGAGGTGAAACAAACTAATTTACTAAATATAGTATCAGCAAAATATAATGAGAGAGAGAGAGAGTGTGCGAAAGGTAGATAGGCCTCACCACAACGCTGAGGTGAGAAGTGCAGTCCAGTTGAGCCGATGAAGACAAACAGACGGAGAAGAGCAGACGGAGAAGCGCAGGTGAAGAAATGTAACTCCCGGCAAGTTCACTTGATGTTCATCTCCTTGCTGACCGCAAAGCCCCCAGGGGAACGTAGTTCTTCTCCTCCTCCAGACAGGCACCCATAACTTGAGCATCCAATGTCAAACCTCCAGTGCATTACATGATGTTATGATTTGCAAAACTAATAACCAAAAATCATAAAACCATGACAACAAGCTAGAAGCAAAAGAATATGGTGTTGCGAAACTCCAAATGGCCTTCTCTGCCTCTTTGCAACATCACGAGGAAACGAGGCGACAGGACTGAGCCTACTAAATTACGTACCTGTTACAGGCACCGTTTAGTGTACAGAAAGCTTCCACGGTATTTACGGGTGCGCCAGAATCTTCTGCTTCGGATAACCTGACAACAGCCTTCTCGCTGAGCGGCTAGGAAAAAGCGCAGGTGCTTGCGGTGAAATATCATGGAACGCAAAGCAGTGGAGGAAGAGTACACGGTTCAAACAGGATTGGCTTCGGAGAAAGGCCATAGCTTAAGCAGATCGCTACGCGCCACTGAACTCGTTCCCCAAATGCAAGACAACACGGCGATTCTTCCTAAGTGATCTTTGAATTGGCCAAGTCCTCTCCCTTCTATGCACAAAACACGTTTTCACAGGCTCCTGCTGCTACCAGCACAGAGCAATTTTAAAGCCAAACAAAACCACCTCCATTTCACTCTCTTATTAAGACCCTGCTTAACCAATCAAGCGGCAAACGGTGGCTCACCATCCTTCAGTTATGGCCAAACATCGCCTTCCTATCCTACTTTTGAGCAAGGCATTTTCAAAGAACCTGGGCTTCTCCCGACTGAGGCCGTGTTAACTCTCTGTCCTCAAGAACACCACACACTCAGGCGAAAAAACGTTTTGGATTCGCGCGGTGAGGCTGGCTCTACCTCAGACGCTTCCAAATCGCCGCAAAGGTTATTGCCTTCGACACGTGAATACCACCGACCTGTAGGAAACGGTCAACTAATTCTAATGGAACTAGCACGACTAGCAGCGCCAAAGGGATAGATATCGCAGGCGGCAAGCGCCCGCGACTGCCACCAAGCGCTTCAGCGTCACAGGCCCGCCTCTACACACGCGCGCGCACCACACGGGGGCGCTGGGAAGCTAGGCGAGCCAGACGGCACCAGAAACCCAGGACGCGAGCCACGGCAGCCCCGTGGCACCGAAGGAGCGCGGGCTTTGAGAGGAGGCGCTGCAGTAGCGAGCATCACCAGCCAGAAAGGCCCGTCCGCCCGCCCCGCCGCAAGGTCGCCGCTCGCCCCGCCGCACTCGCCGGCACCCCAACGGGCGCTCGTTCCAGAGGGCGTGCGAGCGCGCTAGGGTGGGGGAGGGGTGGGAAGGGAGGGCAAGGGAATCGCACAACGCACAACAAAGCCGCGGCTACCTCCACGTCCACAACGGCTCCTTCTCGCGGATAAAGTTGGCGGAAACTGCCTGACGGGCGACTTTTCCGAAGAGAGCGGCGCCAACGCGCAAGACGGCCGGCGACCTAACGATCACGCCAGCCATGATGGCGCGCGCTAACTACAACCCTCCCTCAGCCGCGAAC